GAGACTTTAGGATTGATTTGATGAAACCTGATATTGCCTCAGTTAGGGTTCCATGCTTGGATATGATAGGTCTGCCAGGGTTCCCTTGTCTGTGAATTTCAGGGAACATGTAAAAATTTCCTGGGTTAGACAGGGGGCGGATCAAGTTCTGTAGGGTTTTTTTGTAGTTCAGATGGAAATGATTTGATGGTAGTTTTGAGTTTTAAGGTGAAAAGGGGAGCAGGATCTTCCCCTAGTTTTTTTGTAGTAGGTGGTGTAGAAGAGAGATGGCTTCTTTTATATAGTCTTCACAGTTAAGGATAACTAAAGCTCCTCCTTTATCTGCTGGTTTTATTACTATTTGGTGGTTGGATCTTAGAGATTCTATGGCCCTTCTCGCTGAGAGGGAGAGGTTGTTATGGCGGCATGTGTTGTTAATTATTTCATTGTCCACTCTTTCCCTGAAGCAGTCAATATAGTGTTCAAGCTTATAATTTTGTCCACTGTGAGGTGTCCAATCTGATGGGGTGTTTTTGGGGGGGGTTGATCTTTTCCTCAGTGTTGTCAAAGGATGAAGCATTGTTGGAAGATCAGCCAATTAATCATGGTTTAAGTGTAACATCTGTCAGGGGCCTTCAGCTGTTATGTAGGTCTTTGTGCGTGCTGCTGGGAAGTACCGGGGATATCAGAGGTACCTGCATTTAACCTACCTGTGGAACTTGGGTTTTTCCTCTTGACATACCCTCTTTTATTGGTTAGATTGTCCCCTTTTGCTGCTTTGCCTCCCTGTGTAAAAATATATGCTCTTTTATAACACCTACAGAATGACTCATCAGCACAAGTGTAAGCGACTCGGCTGGGGAAAAAAATAATTTAGTTGCAATCTGCAAGCACTTGCCCTTAAGGGTTGGTATTTATAATACAAGAAAGTATAACAACTCAGTCTTCTCAAGTCCTGTGACCATTGGGTATGATGCTCTGCTTTCCAAAATATATCTTCTTCCTGTGTGTCTTCCTCTGTGTTCCAAGACCATGCAAAACTGGATGGCAAATCTGAATTTAACCATTATTTCAATAAGGCCAAGATGTTCTTTTTCATCTTGTCACAACAAGATGGACTACTTTGATATATGTGCCCCTTTTCTGACCATCTTGTACCAGAAAAATAGATTGCATTTCTGTATGACTCTCTGCAGGGTTTTGTCAAATGTAACTAATGAATAAGATAAAAATCTCAAATCCTATCCAGGCTTTTTCTAGGGAAATAAATGATGCCCTCATCCAAAATAAATGAACTCTTGAAACTAAAGTTTTGTGGATGGTGATTAGATAATTGATTGTTAGTCCAATAAGAGAGTTGATGATAGACTTGTAGACCATTCTTTATTTTGTGAAATTACTAATGAAAGAAAGGTAGCAAATATTTGAGGGGGAAAAAATGACCTGATGTTTTCCTTTCTTCTTTTTCTTCTAGCTGGGGCTAAATGCTGCTCTAAGAAAAGCAAGAAGGATTGTCAGGAATTCTGAAGTCCTGGTAAGACATAAGTGGCAAAAAGTTTTTTATATAATGATTGTATTTTACCAGGGTTGAAGAGTTTATTTTGCTTAATTTTAAGCCCATTTGAACATTATAGATTTAAAATGCTGACATGCTTTATTGACTGTGCATTCTGCTTAAATGAGACTGGAGGAGAGATGTTGCAAAGAGAATATCCAATGTAAAAACAGATGGAAAATGGAGTAGAGTGAAAAATACAGAGGGACCATAGGAGAAAAATAAAAGTTGAGACAGTGATTTTACCAGAACTATAAAAGAAAAAATACTAGAGTCTAGATCTTAAAATGGTTAAAAGGTATAGGAGGCAAAAGATCTGATCTTTTCATGTATGATAATGGAGTGCCAAATTCCTCGTTGTAGCTTAACTCCTTAAAATCTAGCATAAGCACCATTTACCAAGAAAAGCATTCAGAAAATTTAATAACAGGAAATGAGCTCAGATTTAGGAATAGAAGCCTCCTGATCATAATTATTTTAAGACTAGCAGTTTTGAACTCTCAAACTCAGTGCCCACACCCAAATCCCCTAAATCCTCTACTAACTGTTTATTGCAGCTGTTCTCTATATTACTCTGTATCTGTTTAAATAGAATCCTGTTTTGCCACACCTCCTCACACAAGTAACTTCAGGGCATGCCTATGTCACTTCCACAACACTCCTGAGAGCCCTGCTGAGACGCATGTCTTGCCCACCCACTCCTGCTCTGCATCTGCCAAACCTGGCAATGAGGTGGTGAAGCTGCCTGGGGGCGCTCCCCCACCTCTCCTGCATGCCAGAAATATGAGGAGCAGTGGCAGAGATGCCCTCAATTTTGGGTTTGATGCACACAGAGTAGAAGCAGTTGGATGTGGTATGCTTCTTGGCAGCTCTCTCCAGACTGTTGCAGACGCAGAGCAAACCCATCTCATTGAATTTAATGGCTAGGGAAAGACATTATACATAAACCGGTATAAGTGATCAGAAATCATTTAAAATCTGTAACGCAACAGAAGTTCAGTGCACTTAAACCACTTTCAAAATGAAACCAGTTTAAGATAAACCTAGATGGATGTAGTATCAGACTGAATTGATTTAGGTTAAATTGATTTACTGAACTTCTGTTTCAGATCCCCTCCAGATTCAAGTTAACTCACAGTCTCCGAGCATCCTACCTCCCCCACAAACCACAGCCCCTCACAGGGTGGGCAGGCTAATCTTGGCCCAAGCTGTCTGCTCCAGCCCAGCAGAGAGGAATACTATAGTGCCCTCTGGCTTCTGGCCTGGGCCACTGTGGACATGTGATTGCATTTTTGGAATCAAAAGTTAATGTCTGTTCTCTTGCTTATCGGTTCAATCTATGCAGGTTAGACTAACCTGTGAAGACTGAATCGAATCAAAGCCTTGGCCTTTTTGATATCTGTACTTAGCCAACACGGCTGATCAACTGATTAAGCAGCAAAAAATTGTAGGGAGTGTGTATAAAAAGGCAGACCTGAGTCTGCAGTGCCTACGTATTAGTAGACATTTTATAGAAATTGGGAAAGGCACAGAGAATTTAAGTTTAAGCACTGCTTTTAATAAAGGCAGAATAGGGACAGGAGGGGAGAACAAGAATTAATCGTAAGAGGATAGAAACATTTGTCTATCTGTGTAGGCCTCTTGTTGATCAAGACCAAGAGTAGGTGGGTAAGATGATTTGGGCAGCAGCTCACGCAAGCAAGATTTTGTAAATAAGCAGGAGGTAGCAGTGCAGCCATGTCCAAAATCACTATAGGAGCTGCATTATACTCAGCGTTAAATGCTCTGTCTCCACTGGCCTTAGTAGTATTCTGTGCACACGAATGAACTGAGGGCACAGTATGACCCTAATGCTAGGTATGAATCCAGGCACTAAGCATCAAACACCATCAATGCTGTAGGACCTGGACCATGGCTTCAATAGCCATATGTCAGGCCTGTTTGCTACAAATCCTGTTTACATTTTTGACTGGAGCACAAGCTTTTTCCTATTTCTCCGGTGTGACACAGTCCTGTCCTGTGCTCTTCCTTCTCCCACCCCAGGTTTTTAAACCATTTTCAGTCTTGTGTTACTGCTGATTGCCTCCTGTTTCTCAACTTCACTCTTCTTCCTCACCCAGAGTCACTCTAGCATCTTCTGAATACTTGGATCTATTGCAAGTGGAAAGACCTGAACCAAATACCTGGATCCAAACACCATTGTAGTTTGGTCTTCTGAAATTCAAACAAGGGTCTGGGCCAGAGGTGCCAAGTACATGGGGGCACCAAGGGTCCTGTCTGCCCTCGGAAGGAGGGCTGTCACCTGAAATGCATAAACTTTCTACATGTCCATCTGAAATTCATAAAAAGTCCCACATGTCCATCATCTTAGGGATGATATCATGTCCCCCCTCTCCTCCCCATCCCCCTCCCTGCACGCAGCAAAGATAAAAGTTGGTGCCTATGATCTGGGCCCAAATTTTACACATTACTCTTTTATTTATTATGGGCTCAATGAATGCAAATACCTGGCTCTAACCTATAAAATAGCAGTGAAAAGGGGAAACATTTTAGCTTGTTGCCTGACTTTATGTTATGAGTTGGCTCAGCCACTTTTTAAGTTTGCTTCCAGTTGTCTTCAGGCATTTGATTCCAGAGCAAATGTTTTTGCTGTTTGCAAATAAATTATTGATATTTTTTCTTCTTGAATCCTCACTGCTCACAGATATGAAAATTGAGAAGCCTAATTAGCCTTTGGGCTAATGCCAAACTGGGATGCCAAGGAAATAAACAATACACTGTAAATAAGGGCTCAGCTCATGGAGAGCAGCAACAGCAGGATCATGCTTTCCAGTGAATACATGTTAGTGATAGTCAGATATTTCTTTCACAACTGCATTCAGTTTCCTTTTTTCCCATCATTTGATTAATTTAAAATTTACATACGTTAATATCTGCAGGTAGTGATTTGACTCAAATCATGACTATTAGATTTAGCCCACCATCAGGTATAACATGAAGGTAACATACATATCAGTATACATTTGGTTTTGGGGAGCATTCCTTCTCCCCCTGCCCTTGCCAATTCTTGATGGCTGGGGAGATTAGGTGGACTATACCCCTTAATGAGATTCTGCCTGTTTTTCCTTGCATGCTTCTCCCACTTCTCAAGCTGAAATGGTGACCATCAGGGCTTCCAACCACTATTAGTGCAGTGTACAGGTCAGTGTTTCCTCCAAGTGAAGGGTCTACAGTTATGTCTAACCTTTGTGTGTACCCTCTACCCCAATTTGCCCCTTGTCCAAAATGAGGGTGATGAGTCAGGCTGTTTATCCAAATAGTGGTTATCCCAGTGAATAATGACCACAGGTCATTTGAAAACAGACTGCTACACCGTAGAAAATCAAATTGAATTAAAATAAATGTCTTTATTACATTGGTTGGGCATTTTTCATGCTCAGTTGTAGCATGTTGCCTGAAATTACCCCTGTTACCCTTAGAGAAGCATATTTTAAAGCTTGAAATCAAATATAATTTAATTCCCAGGGTTTTAATGATTTTTTGGAATTTTTCCAAATGCAGCAACATACTTTGTCTGGTGGAGTTTCATTTGTGATTTAGAGCATCAAGAAAGCAAGAAGAAAAGAAAAAAATAAACCCTTCATTGGACAACAGAGTCTGAGAGATTTGTAACATGCCATGCCCTGTCAAGCCTGTTTGTCTATATGGCAGCTGGTCCAGAAAACACACAAGATTGGTCAGAGGACTGTCTGACCAAATCAAATACATCTGAATAGCAGAGCATTTCAAACTATACTTTTAAAAATCCATATTTTTTAAAGATGACAGGAAGAAGTGTAAATATATACCATGCAATAAACCTCCTCTACTGACCACTTCTCATCTTTTCTCTATTTGCCAAGTATGTGCGCACATATGTACTGCAAACATACAGCCAATAAAGCAGAGCCAGCGCTTCAGGCTTTCAAGAGAGGGGGATACTAAGCAGAATCATTGTTTCGAGATTCTAAAATACCTCTGCAGCCACTATGGGAATACTCTGCTGGAGGATGGGAAGTGGCGGTCTATTTACAAGACTAATCCACTGATCTAGAATTTGACTGATGGGATGTATCTGTGGTTTATTCTCGCATCTGCCAATTCAGGCAAGTTAGCCTCAACTTGCCTGTTTTCACTGCAGCCTCCTGAACAGTTCATGCAACCGGAGCCAGTTTACTTGAGTTTGAAGCTAGTCTGAGCAGTGCCTATGTGCATGTATCAAGACAGGCATGTTAACAGCTATTACAGGATCAAGGACTCCAAAGTACTGCCACTTGTCAAGAAACTCAGGCATATCTAGATAAAAAAGAAAGTAGATGCAAGATGACCATGTCTAATAAGGGACGAAAAGCTTCTTGCATTTGCTCAGACACATCACATGTGGGTATTTTATCAAAACAAATATGAATAAGTGTTAAGGAATGATTTTGGTTTTTATTTATTCATTTATTTATTTTTAAGTAGAAGGCAGGGTTGTTTAAAACTATGAAAATATTTGCTAAAATGGCATATTTTAGCAAATGTAGGATATTAATAGCCATTGGCATTATTAGAAAATGTGAGCACCTCTAAAACTTTTACTTTATTTTAAGGTGCAGCAAATATGCTTATTAACACTAAGTCATCCTTGGGCAATGGCAGTGAAAATGGGCCTTGAGGTTTAATGGGAGCCACACATCAAGTAGCCTTCAGGGCTAGATTGTATAGCCCTGTGTAAAAATTGCCTTGTGCCTGTGGGCATGCAGTCTCCTTCCTTCTGGTCACCCACATGGTGCTGTGGATGGAAGCAGAGAGAGTGGAGCTATTTCTTTGCCGCCCACTGTGGCATATAGAAGGAAGCTATTTTTTCATTCTCCTCCATGCAGGTATTTTAGTGGCAGCTGGCCTTTACTCAGGCTATGCAGGAAAAAAGGCAAATTTTGCACATATACATTATTTGA